TCGGTCAGATCAGGTCCACAATCGGCAAAACACACCTCTTTATAAACCAACGCTTCAAGCAATTCATTGGTCTCGTCGACGACTGTCAGTACAAGAGAGGCCCCAAAGAGACCAAAGTGGAGGACCTCCAGGGCTTCTGGGATATGATCTTCTATCAGGTCCAGGATCTGCACCACTCATTCAAACTCCTCAATCAACTCAAAGAGAATAAGTGGTGCGAACTCCAAGTCGTGGCACCTGTTGTCCAGAAAAGGGCGCCCAAAGCGGTGCCCAAACCGGTCCACAACAAGACCGCCGCCAAACCCATAGTCCGATCCAAGATTAGGGAACAGATCCTGAATCTGAAGAATGCAAACAAACAATGCGAACAAAAGAGTGATAAAAACGAAAGCTTTGGCGAAAAAGAGAATCAAAAGATCTCGTCGTCAGTCGTGTCCTCTGAGGCCAAGAAGAATGAGTCCAACGGCAAGAGTATTGAAAAGCATTCGGAAGGCGTGTGTAATGTCTTAAAGCGGACACCACTTCGAGTGGCCGTCAAGAAGTGATTCGTCTAATGGAAAGTCTTAACGCAATTTTGATATCATTTTGTATACAATTTCCTAAAATGTATTATTATTTTCACTCTATTTATGAGNGTCGTCAGTCGTGTCCTCTGAGGCCAAGAAGAATGAGTCCAACGGCAAGAGTATTGAAAAGCATTCGGAAGGCGTGTGTAATGTCTTAAAGCGGACACCACTTCGAGTGGCCGTCAAGAAGTGATTCGTCTAATGGAAAGTCTTAACGCAATTTTGATATCATTTTGTATACAATTTCCTAAAATGTATTATTATTTTCACTCTATTTATGAGTTGTAATGAAGTGTTCAATAAGTCATTTGATTGAGAACTGGTTTTTACTACTAATTTCTCACAATATTTTATTTTTTCATTAAAATTCAACGAATAATAAGTTTTTAAATCAATGTATCATTCATTACATGCACTACTGTTTGTGGGATGTCTTCGTAAGACGTGATTCAATGTGTGGATCAATTGATGTGTGATTTACTGATTCGGTGCCACAAAATATCCTTCGACAAGGAATTTGGCGTTTTGTGTGATATCCTGTTTGTCGGTATGAGTGGCCGTGTCTTGCCTTAAAAATGTGCATTTAGTCTCATTCGGCGATATCATGGGCTCAACGCCGTCCACATTAATGTCTTTGAGTTGATCCGCAAAATCGATGGCTTCTCGCAGTCGCTTAACGCCCGACTCATTGCCGAAACGGATTAAAGACAATCTCTCTAAGAGTGGCACCACTTTTAATATGTCTTTGGATGACATGATTGCGAAGAGAGTGCACTTCACCAGTGGATCACTTCAATTGATCCCTTGTTTTGTTATACATGTGTGGGTTTTAAAGAGTACTGTCTGTGTCCGCACATGCGCTACCATTACATACAGTACTTGTACTGTATTTTCAATTTAAACAATTCACTCAATACAACTGTATTAGAACTTATGATAAGTTTGAAAAGTTTAAGTATTCGTAAATAGTGTTTAATTTGATGAGAATATGTGTGAATCAATTGGACAAAGAAATACACCAAACACTTATTATTTGTTGAATGCAATAATCGCTTACAATTTAAAAGCTAAAGCAATGACTTATTTGCTTCAAATTGTTGCTTCTGTTAAAAAGTGCACACATTTTCTTTGATTGACCCAAACTTTAAAATATTTACCTTAATTTCTCAACAATTGATGCACTCTTTAACAAACTTTTATATAACTTATAATTGAATTGCGAAACATTTGCATTTGTTGTCACACTTTCTATGAGTCAATTCATTCAATATATTACTGACGAGAATATTATTGTGGAAAATAAAAATACAATATTATGAAAACCAAAGTTTTACTATTGATTATTAAATTGCAACCAATTGTGTATATAATTGACTTTGTACTAGTTTACAACAATGTCATTTAGCATCATTGTAATAGTTAATTGAAAAGTATAATACCACCCAGAACATTTAAATAAATTTCCAAACTTTTATTATTTTAGTTTATGTACAGAATTCCTAACGAAAAGTATAATTTATTTATATTTCTATACAATTGATAAACACTAAAATAGTTATGTATTTTACAGATATTTGTGAAAATAATTAAACACTTGTGTGTTTTTGAAATAAAATTAAGAGACAATGAGTTTTAAAATAAGGCTTTTATAAAAAATGATTACTAATTGTGACATAAAAACTCGATTTACTGGAAGTTATGATTTGTATGTAATTAAAGAACACTTTATAGTAATTACCTAATAATAGATCGAATCGATTATCATTTATAAAGTAATACAGGTTTGGGTTAGTCTTTATTTATATGAGGATAAAATGAGATCAATCCATGAAATACTGGATCACATAATATAACAATAATAGCAAATAAGCCATTGGTTAAGCTCTTTGTTAAATCCGACGCTAGTTTTCAATGTTGTCTAATATTCAGGTAATTCTAGTAATTTTAAAATACATTTTTATACAACAAATACACGAAATAACATAAATAGTCTATAAATTAGGCAAATATACAACACATTATTCAAATACAAAATTATATAAAAAATTATTAATAATAACTACAATTGTTATAATTCACAAACTTTATAATATGAAAAGTAAATACCCCTGAAACTTTATATGTTTCAAATTGATCATAATTTGTACATTGATGACTTCACCCATTTTCACATAATTACTGATTTAATCATAAAAGTTATATTCATTTCGAGACAAGGAGTCGTTAATGTACTGTAGAGTACGGAATAGATTAACATTTAATAACATTTACAATATATTCAATAAATGCTTGTAATTTGAGTTTGTCTTAAGTATTCATTGATTGCATGTGTAATCAAAAAATCCAAATCTATAGTACATTAAACATATTTTATATTTCAAATATCATTAATAAGAGTACAATAAGTTCTTGTATAATAGGTATGGAACTGGGGTTACGCACAGTTGTACTGCAAATGTACAATATTAATTGCACATGCATGACCATGGTCAGTTTATTGGCTATACTGCAAATATTTTGTATGGTTTGCCGGATATCTCTAATAAGAGTGATATAGAGTTGTGTAAAGGCTGGGGAAGAATAGCCGTATGAGAGGAGAAAATTCTAGAAAATGTTTTGATTGTAAATAACGTAATAATAAATGGAAGAGAAGTGAGATTTGAGTTAAAAAGTTGAGACAAATCTATTGAAGAGAGAAAAGTATAGAAAGTATTGAAGCGATGAATTGTACGTGAATTTCAATTTCAAGGATATTTCCTACAAAAAAAGTGTGTGAAATACGCAAACGTGTAATACATTGGAGACAATCAATTAGATTATTACACATCGAGTTAATAGTGACGGAGAGGCAGAGGAATGGGTGGAGGAATGGCTTCAGAGAGGGATAGGACTCACAGACCAGACATACAAAGCGCTATTTCATGCAATTGAGGGGTACTTAAGGGGCGCTCAAAACACGGCATTTATAGTAACGATATTTGAGTTGACGTTTGGTTTGCGATACAAAAGTTGAGACCTATTTGTGACTCCAATTTGTAGACAATATTACAGGTATTTATAAATCACTTGTTTTTAATTCACATTATTATACTTTACAACCATTTCTACCAAACCATACATTTTGTAAGTAATTATCGGTTAATTTGTGTCCAAAAAGATTGCCATTAATTGTGTATTAATTGAAGTGATAGTTAGAAACGAGTGCTTCAATTGTAGCCATAGTTAACGTTAAGCCAAACGTCAATCACTTGTCTTGTATTAAGTGAATTGATTTCCACATTATTTCGTAGAAAACAGACATTTCTTATCATTTGTTTAGTTTTTATCACAATTTTATGATTAAATTATTTTTAATTTGGTTTTTGCCTTTCAGTCGACTCATTACTATTGAATCGTTTGGTTTATTTGATCCCAAAGCACGTGAACTACTGTAGTGTTACCACCAATGGCTGAAACTAAGACTTTTAGTTTGGAGGAAGTGTCCAAACATAATGAAAAGAAATCCGTTTGGCTTCTGATCCACGACGGGGTCTACGATGTGACCAAATTCCTCGAAGAGGTAACCACTCATACCATACCATTAGATAACACTTTATAACCAAATTGTTGATTGTATTGATGGACAGCATCCGGGAGGCGAAGAGGTTCTCATAGAACAGGCCGGAAGAGACGCCACCGAATCCTTCGAAGATGTCGGACATTCTTCCGACGCCAGGGATCTGATGAAACAATACAAGATCGGAGAACTCTGTGAGGTATGACTGACTTTACCAATCATTTATTTATCTGTAAAACCAATCAATTTTGTTGGACTTTCAATAGTATCTAAATTTATTTTAATGAAAAACCAATCCTTTGAACCAAATTTAAATGAATTTGAATTTTATTGAATACATGTTTAATATTTTTAGTATACAGTAACTAATCTACAAATCAAACACTTAATCACACATTTTTAATGGCCTTAACTCTAATAGAAATTATTTTAGTTAAACTAAAGCCTGAAAATCGCAACAATTTCCTTAAATTTAAAATATTTAATTGTTGCTAATATTATAAATATTTTAATTATAAAAGTGTATAATTGATAGTAAAAGCATTTAAGAACTAATTTACCGAAAAGACCCCATTTTTAAATATTTTTGTCTATTTTCATAAATTCATTTAAGGCTTAATTTGCAATTTTTTCATTAATTTAATCAAAATTTTGCAGTTTATATATGAATTGCAAATAAATGAATGACAATAAAATTTTCTATCGATAATATTATTTTCCTTTTACTTTGAAAATGCATTTTTCTCTCTAAACATGTTTTTAT